TTCTTCTTCTTCTTTTTTTTTTTTTTTGAGACAGGGTTTCTCTGTGGTAGTCCTGGCTGTCCTGGAACTCACTCTCTAGACCAGGCTGGCTTTGAAACCATAGAGATCTGCCTGCCTCTGCCTCCAGAGTGCTGGGACTAAAGGTGGGCACCACCACCACCTGGCTATCACTTTGCCTTTTCTAGCAGCTACTTTGAGCAGTGTCCTTGTCAACCTCTGCTAGAACATCCCAGTGAGGCAACTAATACCAGTTCTTAGACAAACCCAACTTTTTTATTAATTAAATTTTTTTCATACAATATATTTTGGTCATATTCTTTCCTCTTCCTCTAACTCCTTCCAGATTCTCCAACTCCCTATCTACACAACTTTATTTCTCTCTCTTTAAAAAAAAAAAAAAACTAAACCAAAACAAAAAAATACACACAAAAAAAACCAAAATACCAAAACCACAAAGCCTGTTTTGTGTTGGCCAATTCCTCCTGAGCATGCATCTATCGTCCTGCCCTGGGTGTAGATGACATGCCCAGTGTGTCTCCACTGAAGAAAGCCATTTTTCCCTCTCCCAGCAACTACCAAGGACACGTTCTTTTTTTCACTGGACAAACGTCCTGCCCACACCACACATAATCATGCTTCCAAATGATGGACACTCAACTTTTAAGAACATGTGGGATGCAGTCAGGGTTGCCTGCAGGGTTCATCTCTGGGAAGCAGCTTAGAGGTGAACATGGGAAATTAAGCAGTGAGAGAATCCTTTTCAAACATCCTCTCCAGGTGCAATTGTAAATCTATTAGAAAGGGAAAACTGGGTGTGGCATGCCTCCTGAGAGTCTCACTGTGTAGCTCCATCAGACGGTTCAGTGGCCCTGACTCCCTTCTGGTCTCAGAACCCTTATGTGGGTGATTTGGTGTCACTCAGCTTATGAGAACAGTGTTTGCAGTGACAGTGGATGACTTCCTGTCAGGCGGAGACAGAAAGGCATTCTCATCTACGAAATATGAAGCCCTCTTGACCAACCTGGGTGCTGGACACAGGTTCAGAGACACCCCTAGCCTTCCTGGACGAGTAGGTTCACCTGGCTCTGACTGCTGAACAGACTGTAATTTACACCTTGGGGTTTAAGGCTTGAACAAACATGGGAAGAAAGAAAATCTGCTGGGAGCCCATCTCCTATCTCAGCTCAGCCTGGAGGAGTGGCTCTCACAGGGCCAGCCATACTCACTTTGCCTCGGCACACAGAGCGCACACACTCCACCAGCTGCCCTGTCTCCAACTGGAAAGCCCGACAGCGCTTCATCTCCTGGTCCCACAATTTTACAGCCCCTCCTTCTTTAGTCCTAAAAAAGTCAAAAGAGGAATTCACCCATTCCTTCAAGACTTCTAATAGCCTGCTCTCTCACTATCATTCCTCTTCTTCCTCCCCTCCTCCAAGAAATGCTAGGGCAACATTTGCAGGAGCAAAGTCACAACAGCTTTTTAAGAGTTTTTAGCTGCTAATGGTCTCCTCTACTATCCTCTCAGGAAGATCTTGGGCCCTCTCTCAGGAAGACCTTGGTCTCTCGGGAAGACCTTAGGCTCTCTTGTAGAGATGGCAATCTAACACAGAAAAGATAGGAGCACCACAAAATGACAGATCCTTCTGTCATTTTGCCCCAAGATAATAGCAAACAAGTCCCCAAAAGGGACCTTTGCTTACGGCCGTTCTTTTCCACCAGTCACAATAAGCCCATCCCGGAGGGTGGTGTACATTGTGAAAACAGGGCCTGTGTGAGCCTTGGCCACCAGCCGGATGAGAAAGTGCTCCTTCCACACGTAGACATCTCCATTGATGGCACCGGTGAAAGTGAGGTTGTTCTGTAAACAAAGGGACACCTTGGAAACCAGGACCATGCTTTAGGGGTCCCTTCTCAGCATATTTTTAATTATGCATATGTGTAGTGTCCATGCATATGAGCATAGGTCCTCACAGAGGCCAGAGGCATTGGATGCCGTGGAGCCAGAGTTACAGGCAGTCATAAGATACCTAAGTGGGGTGCTGGGAACTGAATTCAGGTCCTCTGGAAGAGCAGTGAATGCTCTTAGCACTGAACTATTTCCTCAGCCAGACTGGCTCCTTTGCTGAGATGACCAGCTGTGCATTGCCAGTCTGGTCTCCATTAAAGCCAAGCAGATTTGCAGAGAACCGGAAGAACATGAGAGGTCACCTGGCATTACAATTTACTTGCTAATTGGCTTGGCATTTTTGCACTCCTACTTCGTGTACCTCTGCAGCATCAGCACCAGACAGGCCATAGTAGGGGAAGGGTCATCCCAACCAGGGAGGAGACTTGCCTGGGGTTCACCCAGGAAGTGGACACATCACACTTGGAACACCTGGAGCTGCCTTACATGTACCAGAAGGAGTTTGCACTGGCTTGGGGATTTATGGAGCAAGAGGGCCAGGGAAAAAAGACCATTCTCTGAGAGTAGAAGTTATTCCCAACATTCTCAGGGGTTGCCCAAGCAGAGTGTCTGTATTCCTAGAAAGGACAACTGTGACACGAATAGTTGGATGTGGGTGGCACTACCCCATTTTCCGGGGTCTCAGACCGAATAAGAAGGAGAAAGCAAGCTGAGCAGCAGTGTCATCTGCCTCCCAACTGTGGCCACCGTGTAACTAGCTGCCTCAGCTCTGCCATCGTGTCTCTGCTGTCGCAATGATCTGATCTTAATCCACCAGCCAAAAGAAATGCTTCTTTGCTTAACTTGCTCTCCTCAGCTATTTTGTCGTAGCAATGAGAAAGTACTAATACGTTTTGATTCAACATTTGAGAACAAAGAATGAGTAAAAAAACTGTAGCCAGTTGGGGGATAAAGGAGATAGCTCAATCAGTAAGTACTTGCCTTGCAAGAATGAGGACCTGAGTTCAAGCCCCAGAACCTACATTTTAAAAAGCTTGGTGTGCTAGTATGTGCTTGTAATCTTGGTGCTGGGAAACTGGAGACAGGCAGACCCCTGAGGGGCACTGGCCAGCCAACCTAGCCTAATTAGCAAGCCTTAGGCTTAGTGACAGACTCAAAGGAGGTATCCACACATCTATAGCACACTGACACACATACACGCACACAGTGCAGTTAGTCCCCTATTGATGCCAAGGATGGGGGGCACTGATTACTAAGGAACCACTTAGTAAGGGACAGTGTAGAAGTGGCTTTCTTGTTGACTTTGGCTTCTTGGCCAAACCCTCCCCCAATGCCTCTCCTGAGGATTCAGGGCGCTCTCTGAGAAAGCATCTGCTGGAACTTACAGCACCAAAAGCCACAGACAGCATTGTCTGCATCTTGGCAGCTTCCATGGACCCGATGACCCCTTTCTTGTACAGCAGAGCACTTCCAGCCAGGGTCCAGAACTTCATGTGTTTGACCCCAACAGATACAAATTGTGTGTCTGAGTCAGGGCGAAATTCTACCACAAATATACGCTCCAGGTGACCCCCTCGGCTGGCAACCTTGGTACCTGTATGGGCGACAGAGTCCAATGAGGCTAGTCCTTCTGCCATGTGTGAGCCAGAGCAGGAAGTAACAGCCCAGACTAGCTTTCCATCCACTCAGAACTCAGGTCAGAGTTCCTTTATTAACTGCATTCCTTTCAGAGGGCGCCATCCCAAGGAAGGCATATACCTGTGTCTGGGAATTTTCTAGAGAAGTGGGTACTACTAACAGAACCCTCCCATCCACCAACAAATCCATGACTAGAGCAGGAAATGACTGTGGCCAATGATGTGGAAGCTTCTGGATTCCAGAAAAGGGTAGAATTGATCTACCTTGCTACCACATCTTCCTACTCCCAAATCAGCATTCTTCACCCCAGGATGCCCCGCCCTTCCAGGGTCACTGGGAGATCAGATTCTTCAGACACCTTTTATTTTCTCATTTCTATACAAGATTCCTGCATACACTTTCTTTTACCCTAGTGCTCCTTTTCAGTTTGTGCATTTTATGTTTATATTTTTCACTGTTTATACTTAGTTGCTAGTTTTTCTTACATCATATTCTGAATGTCTCATTAGCCTTCATCTTGAGTCTCAACTCCATTTGTAGAATCTGCTCCGCCCCTAGGTTCCTCGCTGTAATTGGTAAAACAATCGTTCTAGCTGCTAAGGTACTATGAGAAGGTGAAAACCTGATGCAGGTGGGAAGTGCTTGGCCAGAATGAGCATGCCATGCTGGGAACTAGTTTTGCCGTTCCTTTGGATCCTTTTAAAACCTCTGGGTTTCTATCCCTTTAGCCTGCATTTTAAGACTCTCTCTCTCTCTCTCTCTCTTTCCTCCTTTTAAAGCCTTAAAGTTTAAATTTTCATTTTAAACTCGCTGCTTTTTCTTTAAGGCTCTTTCCACACCCTCTCGATGTTTTAGTTCCAATTTCTTCTCCCCCTTCCTTTATTATTTATCCTGATGTTTTTCTTCTCATATCTGTACATTTGCCCATTTGTTTTTCACTATGGTTCTACAGGAGAGGGGTGGTCAGTTGTTTTGGTGGTAAGTTTTTAATGAAGCTGGCCTTGTAGCTCCAGATACTCATCAAAGGAAGCCTTTTCCAGAGGAGGCTGTATCAGGAGAGCCTTTTACTCCACACACTGGCTAAACACTGTGTACCCGAAACCCTCACAGTAGTAACGGATCTCACTGCCTGGAGCTTTAAAGCCATGGACTCCAAGACCATAAACTATATCTGACAGCAGAGAACAGGTGGGAAGAAAAGTATCCTCAATTCTTGAAAGAGTCAGGGTGAAAAATGATCCATAAAGACCAACACTTCAGTTCGACAGGTGGATTATAAAAGCTGTAGTGTAAATGACCAATAAGAGATGCAAAAATCAACCTCACCAGCTTTGGAGGAAATACAAATATATAATGAGAGTCCTATTTAAGCCTTCTTAAGGCTTCTCCTCTTGTTTTAATCTCATGGGTATTTTTTACTGTGGAGACATTGAGTTGGCTTCTGGTCTGTTGATAACAAATTAGAAAGACATATTTAGGATCTGAAACATATATTGTATGCAATATGTTCACTCGAAATCCATCTTATTCATACACATGTGCTCCAAAATGTCTCACTAACAAGACAGGAATGCACAATATGCTCTTTAGTGATAACACAGGTGCATACAAACCAATTTGTGTTATTTATATGAAGGTAGGACTTGAAAAAAAAAAAACAACACACTAGAGAAAGGAAGAGAAGCTGTGTCCAGTCAACCATGAAGAGGGCATCTTCTCAGAACCCTCTGGCAAACTGATTCCAACTAACACAAGGAGAGGACCCCTGCCCCCATGCTTCTCTCCTCCAGGGAGCTAGTTTAAAGAGGAGACTTGGGAGTTAGTGGAAAGGAGCGACTGTTCTAGTCGTTGCTGCCTTGGCAGGTCAGAAGAGCCCCAAATGAACAGGCTCTGCCTGGAGAGACAGGTGGGAGAGGTGAGGAGGGAGCATGCACTTGAAGACAGGAGACTGGGCAGGGGCCATGGGTTCACTCTTCTCTTGGGACTTGGGACTAGAGTCAACAGCCCGAGGAAAAAGTGTCTCTGGAACACAACTCTGCCCCATAAAGAGGAGACTTTATGAAGAAAGCTAACGTAGGTTGGGCTTCTCGGGAAGTGACGGGGCTGTGTCCCGGGAGATATCCATGCAGATGGAAGGAAGCCTGCCAGGAAAGCACAGGAGGAATCTGTGGGATAGACCTGGATGCCTGGAAGGTGTCCCTAGCCCTTCCAACTCTGGGATGCCTTGAGGCTGCAAGGTATAATGCTCCATTTCTCATCTGTACCATCTAGTTGATCCACTGACCACCTGGTATCATAAGCAACTGATTGCATCACAGAGAGATGGATTATGGGGACACTTGGACACAATGAACTGCAAACAAGATGACAGTGTGGTTTCCTAGAAATACCGTGGGTTTATCCGGCTCCCAGTGCAGTGTAAGGAGACTTATTCTTAACATTTGTTAGTCACTGGCCTCTCTTAACTGGGGCTCAGGAAAGACAGAAGCTTTTTTCAGAATGTACATTCCTCTTTAAAGCCCTTCTTCACACCCTTTCCATGAGAAGAGGAGGAGATAATGGGACTCCAGAGTCCTAGATTGGAGAAGTGCCATTTCTCTACTTGCCTGCTCAGTGTGTCCCAGATACCAGCTGCAGACAGATCTCATTAGTGCCCTTACTAATTGGATCTACTTTTGCCAAAGCTGACCTGAGCATATACTCAGAAAATTTCATATTTTAATTGTAATACAATTACAAATTTAGTAGCAGCTGGTGTGCATGCATGCGTGTGTGAGTGTGTGCATGCGTGTGTTAGGGACAGATAAGAAAGAAACTCATTAACTATAGTATAAACCAGTGATTCTCAACTTTTCTAATGCTGTAACCCTTTAGTGCAGTTTCTCATGTTGGGGTGACCCCCCTCCCCCAGCATACTCTAGTTGTTACTCCATAACTGTAATTTTGCTACTGTTATGAGTCACAATGTGAATATCTGTGCTCCCTGTGATAGCTTGAGAACTGCTGCTATAAACAGTGATTAATGTGAACCCTCATTTCAGAAGTGTTAAAGCATAAAAATACTGTGAACAACTGAAATTTGCTTTCAGTGGCCATGCTCACTCGAATTCTGATAACAAGGCGGTCAAGGTAAAACAGTTGGAGTAGAATCCAGAGGCCACCAAAAGGAGCACTGAGGACAGGGAGTTTGGGGAAGAAGGTGGTGATGATAGAGAGGGGATCAGCACTTTGCCAGCATACCCACAGGTCTGTCACTCGCCACCATGGTTCCTGAGCAGCCTCCAGCTGGCCATGGCACAGGGAATAGCCTGAGATCTGAGAGTGGCTTGCCTGGAAGCAATCTGGGGTTCCATCCCAGCATGCTTTATAGGGGAGCCCTGTAGAAGGAACATGAAGCCCAGCTTGTTACCTTCTTGCCATCGCCAGACAGTGATGGTGTGCTCTGGATCCACGCCCACAGAGACCAGGAGCTTCCCAGTTGCACTGAAGTTGACGTAGTTCACCCCCTTGGAGTGGAAGCACCGCAGCATGGAAAGCGTGTGTTTGGTCATGGCATCCCAGATATGAATTGAAGGTGTTGTCCCTGAGTATGGGAGAAACGACAGAGGTGGCAGTGCCTCAGGGCTTGTGATCCATTTAAGGCCCTTCCTTACACAAGTGTTTAGGGGTGTCACAGTCACTGGGCATAAGAGACATCTAGTCTGACATGACCCAAGAAAGACATTAAGAAACTTGCTACAACAGACAGAGCATATGGATATTTATGCCTAGCACACTTGCAGAGGGTTTTATTCACAGGAACTGGTGAGGATGGATTTGTGTCTATAGCACAGCTGGATACAACCACCAAATGATACATTGACATGATCTTGCTGTGTAGATTTGAACTATTCACTGCCGGAAGAGCATTGCCTGTGTTTTGCATGGTGTTACCTGCAATGGTAGGCAATGGCAATGAGGAAGCCTCAGGAGAAACAATAGCAGTGAGTCATATTCCTAACCCCAGTAAAGCACACTCCAAAGGAAGCTTTAAAGTGGACATGGCTTCGATGGAGACAAGAAAGAGACTTTCAAAAAAGACAAATAAATATGCAGATGACTTTTCACAAACGTTCAGTTCACATCTGTTGCTGGTGGTTTCTTAGGGAACAGAAGAGCCAGGCACACATGCTACACAGCACTCTTGCCAAGCTCTCGTCAGGCTTTAAGATACAGGGCTTACTTACCCATGGGGGTCCAGTCCACAAGGAAGAGGACCATCTATTTATTTAACTATCAGGTCTTGCTCTGATTTTATGGTTCCTCAGAATCACTAGTCACTACATCACTACTAGTTACATAGACATAGCTTGAGACTCAAAAAAAAAAAAAAAAAAAAGCCAACTGAGACATCAGCAAGAAAGGGTCTGGGTCACACCACTCTCCAGAGAGTGCCGGTACTGATAGGCCAGTGCCCTTGTACAGCCGCAAGAGCCAGTGGGGAGCCAGTAAATAGCCCTACCTATCTGGCTGGTAGCCACCACGTTTCTGTATTTTGGGTGCTGGTTCACTGTGAGGCAGAGGATGTCATCTGTATGTTCCAGGTAGAAGCTCTGACTGCCTAGGAGAGAGGAATCATGGAAGGTGAGTAGTGAGATCTCACAGATTCCACAGCTATCACAAAGCAGAATGGGGAATCTGGAAATGCCTTATAAAAGAGTTTGCTTTTAGAAAACCCAAATTATCATTTTTGGAATTGTCCTTGGGGATGTGGGGGACCTTTAAGAAAAGTTCCATGTTCTGATGTAGGTCTGAAAGGACAAAAACTGGTACCATTCCTAATATAACCACAGTCTACCAGAGCCTTTCCCACTGCCTGTGTGGGTCCAACATGTAGACCAAATACAAATGCTTTCAGAGACTAAAAAATGATAAAGTTCAAGTTTCCTTCTCCCCTTGGCACAAGATCAATGTTTCCTCAGTGTCCACCTATGACCTGAAAGAGAGGGTAGGGATACTGGAAATGAAGACTCTGAAGGTAATGCTGCAGTGGGCAAAGTGGCACTAGGGGGACTGCCCGGGGAGGCCCTTGAATAGGAACCTATCCACCTGGGTGCCTGGATGGCACAGGCCAAAGCTTTATCCCCAAGTCAGTGTATTTCATAGGAAGTGGAAGGAGGGGTAGGACATACTTTAGCACCCATTGCAGTAAATGGGCTTCCTGACTTTCCAAAGGGCCTTTTAAAACCCACTCAGATGCTCAAGAACAGACTGGGGAGTGGTAGCATTGATAAATATGGTTCTATAACATAGTGCTCTTAAAATGATGGCATGTACCTAAAAAAAAAAAAAAAAAAAATTGAGAAAAGGTAAAAAATCTCAAAGCTGTCCTTCCTAAAAGGGAGAAAAATCAAAATAACCCAGTGGCTGTCCTCTTCAAATCTATACATGAACTGCAGGGGCCCAGCAGGGAGCATGCTATAGGAAGTGCTGATATATCTGATCTGGTAGTGAAGATATGGATGTCGGTCTGTCACACAGCTTTTGCTTGAAATGTTTCCTTTTAAAGCTTTATTTCCTGATGGAACTTGTGGCTAGAGAGCACTGAGTATCTCAGTTCACAACACACTCTTTGTAAATACTGCTCAAGTCAAAACAAGCTGGGCCCTGTGCTGCACACCTCAAATTCTAACAGTCAGGATACTGAAGCCTGAGGATCGCCATGTGCTTGAGAGCTGGAAACTGGTTCCCTTTGCTCTGCTCTTAATTTTGGTCTCTGCCTCGTTCCTCGTTTCCTTGCTGCCCTCCCTCTCTTCTCCCCAGCCTCTCTTCTCTCTCACCACGGAGGAGCTGACAGGAGCACAGGCAGCTCCCCTCCAGTGCCTACACTATGGCCAAACCAGGCTGAGGCCAGAGGGGCAGGAGGCCTGGACCCAAGAGCTGCGTGAGTACTTTGAGGACCGAGTGACTCTAGCCTGGAAGAGAGTAGACTGACTCCAAGGGAAGACACTGCGGGACATGGAGAGAGTGGGAGAACATGCAGACAGCTGTGCACTGTGGCTCCTCCCAAAGCTACCTGTGGAGAGGTTCTGCACAACGCCGGCAGCCGCAGTGTGGAAAATGATGTCGGCACCATCATTAAGGTAATGCAGGTTGTTTCGGCAGTCAAATCCCCTGTAGCCAAACACATGGTCCAGAGCCAGCTCCTGCACGCACACAAACAGATGAAGTCCACCCTTAGTGGCTACCAGCAGAGGGACAATGCCGCACTTGCACATGGCACGAATAGCCAAGCATGTCAGGGGAACATTGTGCAAGGCAGGTACCACTCACTGAAGCCTCTGGACTAGCTGAGGATGGAACACAGCCCTGTATTTAGTTCCCTGAAATGTTACGTGACAGTGACTTCTTCCCTAAGTAAGCCAAAGCGACTTCTTGGTTCTTTAGGTGAGTCACGATGTCACGGTGTCCAGACTGGATGGCCTCTAATGGTCACCTACAAGTGTCAAATCTATGCACTGGCAGATATTCACTCCCTAGTTCAGCTGAACAGTAGTAGCTCAGAGGCTGCCATGAAAAGGTCCCATAGGCAGCTGTGACTGGCTGAGGCTTCTGGGTGAGCCGAGGCCATGCTAATGTGTTGCCCCATGAAGTTCCTGTGCATTTGCATATCCCCAAGCAACTAGACATTACTCTGGATTCATGGTTTTATCCTTTGTCTTGTCCTCTATGAAAAAGAGCAGTGGTTGATTCAGATCAATTTGTGATTCCATTGAACACATTTGTACTGGGCAGAGTTAGCTCATGGAATATAAGGTTAATAGCTTGTGGGTCCCACTTCTCCACTTTCCCCAGTCCTGGCCCTTAACTGTTTCTGAAGCTTTCCAATTGCAAACATTAGATTAACTCTCCCAAATGGCACAATTTCTTAATGGAAAAGCATCTCTTGCCTTTACTGCCTCTAGGATAAAGCCCAAACTCCTTGAGATGGCACACAAGCCCAACCACCTTCTGAGCATCCTGGGTAAGCTGACTGACACTTAGCCCACCTACTGTAAGCTTTCCTAGTGTTATAACTTTGTTTTCTAATGTACCTCTCACCTGGAAAGCCTTTCAACTAAATGAATCTCTACTCATCCCTGATTCCCCCAAAGCGTTCCCCAGGGATGTATTTAATATGGGCTGTTGTTTTAACTTTGGAACAGTGTCTGCACCTCAATCTACTGTTTCAGCCAGCAATTGCGACTCTGCAGTTGTGGACCTGCTTCTCTGGCAGTGGCCCTGCCACTCAGGCCGTACTCTGGAGGAAATTCTGTTCCCACAGTCATTGGCTCTGCCACTAAAAGGAGCTTTAACTAAATCTCTATCATTCTATTTATAAATAAAACTGGAGCCTGAAGGCTGGGGCTAAAACCTGCTCGCTCAGAGAAACTGACTAGCACCTAGCTATCCTTCTTCTCTCCTTGCTGGCAACCCCTCCAAAGCCTATCCGTCTCTCTACCAAAAAAACGAAAAGCCGTGCCACTCACAACCCCTCTCCACTACTTCCTGCATCTTTCTGTCTCTTCCAGCTGCCCTCTGATGCTCCATGACTACTTTCTGTCAACCAGTTGCTAACTCAGACTGTTGACCCAAGGTTGATTATATTTAATTAATGCAAATGCAAACTCGGGGTTTACAGTGTGATCAAATATCCCCCCTCATGGGACTTTGCCCTGAGTGGTCAGTTGACCCAAGTGTGGTCAATCAGACAGTCTTCTGGAAATTTAGGATAGACATTGATAGGCTCAGTAGTTTAACCACCTGAGGTGCTGTAAACTCGGGGGGGGGGGGGCGCTAAGAAGCATTGATATTTTACTGTATTTAAGACAGTCGTTCAAGAAGTTTTTAGAGAAAAACAGGCCCCTGTGAGCCCCTGCTTGACAGAAGGTTGGCATGGCACCATCTGGCTTATGATGGCCCTTCTACTGTTGGATCCTGTCTTCCCTGAAACTAAGCTACATTTCATGACCTGAGCTATCCTCCAAAATAAATATCTCAAAAAAAGTTCCTTTTCTGAAAACAAAACAAAACAAAACAAAACTCTGACACCAGTGTGGGTTTAGGGTCTCACAGACAGGAGTGTGTGCTCCAAGGTCTGTGGAATATGGGTGTGGATGGAGGGGTCGTGATGAGGGCTATTATAAATGATGGTCCTATACAGATATCTGATTCTAGAGAAAGGCCTGAAGAACTACAGTGTGGGGAGCTAAGAGATACAGTCCAAGCTGAGGAATTGAAACACAGGACCTCAGCATCCAAGACCAGTTGAGAACATTAGGTGGTGAGTTTGGCATGGAGATTTGAGTTGCCAGGGAATCATAGGTCATGAGGTAGGAAGGTCTCTCTGGGTGAGGGTTTTCAAACTCTAAACATGACCCTTACAGGCAATGTGGGAATATTTTGGGTACTAAAGACAGCATAAGGCATGAAAAGTTTGAACTGTGCTGAGAGAACTCTGGAGTGGTGGGTCTGCAGTCTCCCTGGAGCTGATCCTCAAGTCTCAACTGTAAGCCAGCTCTTCCTCCCTCACTGGACTGGAGACCCTGGGAATGGGTCCTTATCATCCCTGAACCATAAAGCCCTCGTTTGCAAATGAAAGTAACAGTCTCCTTCCAGAAGAAGAAAAGTGAGGTGAGAGATTGTAATGACTTATATGTCACCCGTTTCCTTCTTGTTCATAAAAAAAAAAAAGTGCTGAAGTCCCAAATGGTAGAATGTACAGGGCCATAGGGCCACGTTTAAGGTACACAATGCATTTTGGAGTTAGTGATGATTGATAAGGCTTGATGACATGGCTGAGAGAGAAGGAATGTGACCTAGTAGATGTAATGCTAGTCCCAGAGATGGGGCCGGGGCAACAATGCCATACAGAATGGAGAGGGGGGTACAAGGGAGCCAACAGTCCCTTTTGGATTCGTTTGATGGGGTGTCTAGTTTGGGCAAATGAAGATGTCTACCTGACAGTGTCAGAGCATCAGTAATGAGGTAAAAGCTTGATCATGTGACCTCCTCACCTCAACCAGCTTCTTCTTTTTGGTGATGTTGTTCTTCTGGAGTTTCTCAGGCTGGGGAGCTGCCCGACTCACGGGTGGTCTGAAACAGAAGTCAGAGGAAACACAGAGTTGAATAAAAAGCTGCTTGTCTAGCAGCTAGCTAAAGCCAGAGCCAAGGAAGGTCCTCACTCCTCTCCCCTTCAGAAGACATGCCACCTGGGGCTGTTCTGGCTCTGGCTCTCCTCTCTCACCACATAGGAACAGTAAGTTGGAATCTGACCAGTCACAGTGCAGGTGTGGGATAGGCTCATGAGGCAGAGCTGGGTTTCTCTGTATTACAGCACCTTTGTAGCATCAGTTCCACTTCCCCAATACCCAACAACATCCTGGAATCCAAGAAGAACCCCTGACTAGAGGGACTCACATTACAACTAAGGATGAGCAAATGTATGAGAAAGGAAAGGCCGTGTTCTCTGACTTCACTGGCCATTTCTCAAACAGGGTTTGAGGAATGTGACAGGGTTACTCAGAATCATGTGGTCATGAGCCTGGCCTCTGTGCCTGGGGACTCAGAAACCAAGCTTGAGACAAGACCTGAGACTGTGTGAAAAGTACCAAGCTGCTCTGGTTGTAGACAAGGGCAAGAAGGGAGAAAGGACTAAGGAATTCATGCCTCCTACTCTTTCCCACACTCAGGGTTAGGGTCCACCTTAAGCTGCCATCATCACTACACCAAAGTTTGCTTCTCCACTCTCAGTGTTGGGGAGTGATACTCCCAAATTTAGCTAAGAAATTTTACTTGGAGGAAACCCTAAATGTTGGTGGCATTGGGGTCCTTTTAGTCAGACTGTTGCGATCTTAGGGAAAGCGGGGGGGGGGGGGTCCTGCCCCAAGTCCCACACTACCAGTCAGTGTTCTCAGGAAATGCAAAGAGAAAAAATTACCTTGATCCCCTTGGAAGCAGAAAACAAAGTAAAGTAAGAACTCAGTACAGGTTAGAGCAGTGTCATGAAGCACCTTACTCATGCACAAGCATTTCCCAAATGAACATTCCTGTGTGGCACAGACCATGCTTCCCCAGCATGCCAACCAAGAACTAAAACAGAAAGGAAAGAGTGCACCAGGCTACACGCTCAGAAAGTCCTACCCTGCGTCTCTGGCAGAGTACACTAAGCACCTCCAGGGTGGGGAGAGAAAAAGAAGTCTTGTCAATGCTGCCTGCATGCTCATGGCTTCATGCCCGGGGACTCTGCTTATTTTAGAGTGTGCTGGGGAAGATGCATTGTCAGAAAAACAACAGCATCATCTTGAATGTCTTGGGGAGTTGTGCACAATGGATTGCTTTGTTCCCAAATTAATTTGACTCATAATTTAGCCTAATAATTCTCAGGTTTTTGCAGTAGGTCAGCTTGCTGGCTGGAATAGCTAATGGATTTTTGTGCAGGGGAAACAAGGTAGCTTTATCTTCTCAGAAATTCTTCAATCAAAACATGTTATGTAACCATAAGTGATAATTGGACCAAATGGTATTAAAATGGGGAGAGGACATCTCTGCAAATGACACCCGCAGCTGACATTATTTCCATCAAACTGAGCAAAATCTGGGGAGGGGCATACCAGTTCCCACAATAGACACTTGCTGCACATTCATTATCATTTCCCAGGACATCTGCTCTTTCTTCTGTTTTAGTGGGACTTTCAGATAAAATCCATGGATTTCTTCTTTTACCTGAGAATGTTTAAGTGTATGACAAAAGCAAGCCAGGGGGCTGCAATGGGAGCAAGAATGTGCAAGAACTACTGCATGGCTTACAACGTCCGATTTAACACAGGGCTCAGTTCCAGGGTACACACAGGTTGTATAATATACAACATATTATACAGTATAGAGTATGCATACAAGCACAAACACTGTGTTTATATATACATGAGATTGTATATATACTCAGAAAGGCAATCTGATGCTTTTTGTCATCCTTATTTTCAGCTAAGAAATAAAAGACCCTAAAAACTTCAGTGGTAAAGCATTGTCAGAGCGTGTCTTTTTTAGTTCACAAACACAGTCTACAGCTGCTTCATTTCAAAACGGAAGGCAAGAGGAGCAATGGGGAGAAGCCCCAGTGGGCAGATGCAGCTGCCTTCAGCACCAACCCTTCGGGCCTGGGGCTCTAATGACACTGAGCACTAGGCGTTCACTGAACACCCGAGCTTTGTTCAGAGTGCTGTGGATACTTACTTGACAATTCCCTGCCTCCAAAGGAAAGCAAGTTAAAACACAATACAAGCATTAAAAGCTTCTTTCCAAGCATCTATAAACAGTGTTCAAAATATCAGGTGTGGGAGGAGCTGCTAAAACTTAAAGCACAGCTGAACGCTGGTGGGTTAGAATTTTTTCAGCACTTCTAAATCCTTCCAGATTTAGTTCCCACTCTAAGAAACTCTGCTAAGGTGGAAATGAACAGAGGACATGAGAACATTCACTGACTTTTTGGTCCAATATACTTTTTATAGTTGGTTGGTTGTTTTGGCCCAGGCTGGGAAAGCCAGGACATTGAGTGCTCCTGGGGCTTGGTAAGGGACCCAACAGATTTAAGAAAACTGCAGAAGTTATGAGGATGGCCAGAATGTGGGGGTAATGGGGGTAGGAGGAACCAAGACACAAAAGAAAGGACCTTGAAATGACTCTGAAAGGGAACTTCCATCACAGGAAAGCACTGAGGGAAGGAGTCCAGCAAGAAAGCCGGGCATTGGTGGTGCACGCCATTAATCCCAACAGACAGAGGCAGGCGGATCTCTGTAGGTTTCAGGTCAGCTTGGTCTACAGAGTGAGTGCCAGGATAGGCTCCAAAGCTACACAGAGAAACCTGTCTTGAAAAAAAAAAAAAAACAACAGAAAGTGGGGCAATACTGAGGATAGCTAACAGGAGAGCTGAGGAGAGGCTGTGTGTGACCTGTTGAGTTAATGCAGCAGCCTTATTCTTGGGCCCAGTAGTGGGGGTTGGGGTAGGCTGCTGAAGATCTATCTTACATTGTGGCACAATCTGTGGACAGGGAAGGACCACAGGAAGGTCAGCACAGTGCCAACTCTACTTTCCAGCAGTGTGGATGCTGAAGAAAAAGCTTAGACCCACTCAGTGTGTGGAGAGTTATCCTGACACACATGGTTACCCCACCAAGGATCCCAAAGGAGGCCAACAGGGTTTAGTGTTCTTTTCTATTTCCTTGCTCCCCACCCCCCCAAAATAGGTGGTCAGCTGAGAGATGGGGAAGGAGCAGAGCACACAATGACCTGGAGGGAAGCTCCTGTAGCCCTAAATGAGCCACTGTAAGATCTGAATGGAAAAGAAGGCTCTAAGAAACAAGAGGGCCATGGGGTAGGAAGTTCAGCTTCCCTTTGCTACAGAATGCAAGTTTGAAATTGTTTTCAGTTTTATTTATTTATTTATTAGTTCTTTTGAGACAGGGTTTCTCTGTGTGGTCCTGGCTGTCCAGGAACTGACCCTGTAGACCAGGCTGGCCCAGAACTCAGAGATCTGCCCACATCTGCTGGGACTAAAGGTGTGTGCAACTACTGCCCATTGTGTTTTTAGTTTTTAGCTTGACAATGTTCAATGTTGAAAGTGTTCTTAGAGGAAATGTAAATTGGTTCAGAGTCGAAATTAGGTGATAAAATGCTCCAATAGTTTTCAAAACATCTTGGAAAATCCAGCTACTTTCATTGATTGTACCTGAAGCCCATTTTATTACTGATTTTTCACAAGATTACTCCATGAATAGGATTCTGGGATTTAGTGAACTCTAGGCACAAGACAGTGTTTATAAATGTGTGTGAAAGGAGACACATTGCAGAGAAGTGGGAGGGGGAGGGGGAAGAAGGGAGATATAGATAGATAGATAGATAGATAGATAGATAGATAGATAGATAGATAGATAGATAGATAATATATCTCTGCCATAGTCTCAGTGTTTCAAGGTTAACTCAGGTTTAGTGAAAGTCTCCAAAGCTGTGGGAACTATATGTTATTAAAATATTCCATTAGGTCTGTTCTTATGACTTCCAGAAGCATCTAGAACAGTGGTTCTCAACCTTCCTAATGCTGTGACCCTTTAATACAGGTCTACATGTAGTGGTAACTGCAACCCTAAAATTATTTTTGTTGCTACTTCATGACTACAATTTTGCTACTGTTATGAATCATAATGTAAATATCTTATATGTGGAATAGCCAGTATGTGACCCCTGTGAAAGGGTTATAACCCACACATTGAGAGCTGCTGATGTACAAGGTTGATCAGTGGTGAAGTGACAAAGTGATAAAGGGCAAATAATTAGGTAGAGAACCATGGGGTGTTCTGAAAAAGCCTGCCATCTTAAAAGGACTCTCGCCTGAAGCCTGGGACAATGCACCTGCTCCCCAGAGTGTCATGTATTCAGATAAATGGCTGAAGGCCAAAAGGAGAGTGAAGAGGCCCAAATACTGACTAAGTACTAACTATGTACTAAGTAACACTGGGCAGATTACTAATGTAATCTGTACATTCGCCCCTGTACTAATGCAAGGGGCGAATGATGAAGACCTTGACTGGAGCAGTAACTGAGAAGGAAAAAAAATCAAAGTTGAAATAATGTGCCCAGGCTTCACTGAGCTCTGTAGATGAACAGCTTTCTGGAATGGGGATGAGATGTAACTACAGCAGGATTCTGAGCAGGAGTCAGCCTGTGGGGGATGACGTACCACCAGTGGAGGAAAGGATTTAAGTATTGGCAAGTTGAGCATTAAACAACTGCAGTTTTCCCCTAGCAATGGGAGTCAGAGCTGTGACTCTGGGAATCCCGGGCCATTGATGGGATGAGACCCACAAGATTAACCAGGGAGACAAGGCAGCCAAAGGTGATTGAGAACAAACAGTAGCTGAGGGAATGAGAAGGGAGGGCAAAGAAGGAAAGTTGTTTAAAATAAAAAAGAAAGCAAGTGAGAGGACTATGTCTAAAATTGTACTGCCTGTTATGGTGACTACTGCTCCAGGTGGTTACTGGGTACTTGAGCTGAGGCTACTCCTAATTAAGATGTGCTATAAGTGTAAAACACATCTCATGAC